AATAATGTCAAAAATGTCTGTGTATTTTAGAAAAATTTTAGAAATTAAGATTTTTCTTTTTGCTACCACTATTTTTAGGTATGGCACAGCTTTATAGTAACACGAAGTATTTGCTTTATGACAGCTCTTCACATGCTTTTTAATCAGAAGTGAAAAAAACTTGGTTCAGAGGAAGCTTCAGTCTACACAGATCCATTCATAGAAAGTGAGGAAAGTCTTTTGTATCAACTGGAGGGTGGAAGGATTACTTGTACCCATTTATATTGATATTTAAGTTTTATAATGTAGAGCACCCTGAATTTAAACCTCTTAAACTTTTCCCTTTGACATGTGGAACGACCTCAGATTGTTTCACTTATAGTAAGCTTTAAGCCTTGAAAACGAAGCACGTTTCACATCACTGTCCAAATGCTCTAAAAAAGTATTTTTAAGGTACTGCCAGCTAATTACCCAAATCCAGGAGCAGCAGATTTTAGTCTAATTTCCAGCACCACTTGGAGTAACAGTCTCAGAGCAGCTGTTTGCAGTGCTGGGAGGGAGAGGCCACTCCAGGCGATGAGGGCAGCACACACCCCTCTCCTGAGTCACAGCACCACGCCTGGGAGAGCGTGAGCAGGGCAGCTCAGGGGCTGGTTCCTCCTCGGCAAGAACAAAGCTCCCCCCAAAACCAAAAGAACATTCAGCTCTGAGCTTTGCAAGTATCAGCTTCCTGCTCTGATTTACACAGTCACTCTTCTAGGTCATGGTGCCAGTGCCATCTTTGTACCTTTGTGAGGGGACAGGCACAAGAAACCTTTGGTTTATGAAAGAAAGTTTTGGGTTTTGAGCTTTATTCATCTTTTAGCTGACAGAGGTAATTGCTAAGTTTAATACTGAGTCAGTACCGAAGTACTTTGGATTTTAGACAAAAGTCATCAGTTGCAGAAAGATTAGGAATAAACACAACGCCAGATGACTCTCACTCATACACTACAATAAGGGAAATACTGTTGGAATGGGATCTTTATTTCAATTCAATTATACTTGGCAGCTCAATTAGAATTGCTCACTATAATACAGATATTTCCTCTGTCAGTGTACTGTAGTAATGGATATTCTTCCCTTTTTATCTCACATATGAGTGATGAACAGGATGTTTCTAATTAAAACCAACGCCAAACATTCCATTCCCCAATCTTCACCTTTTTATGTTCCTTCACTGACTGCTCTTCCACACCTCCAAAAATTGACTCATAGATTGGACTGCCACCTCCTTTTTCCACACCTCACAGGCTGAGTATGGAAACCCTGCACACACACACCACACCAGAGTGTGGTGCAACAGAACCAGTCACCTCTTGAGATGCTCACGCAGGCTGTGGAAATTCTGGGATTGTGAGAGCTGGAGCTCCCTTTTCCACCCAAACGTGTTCAGAGCTATGCAAAATTGCAGCACTGAGCAGCCACAGCCCAGTACTGCCCAACAGTGACTACTGCACCCAATGTTATGTTGAAACAAAGCATAGAGAGAGAAAATTTGATTTCATGCTTTTCCTTCTTCTCAGTTCGTTTCTGCCTCACTAAAAAAAAAAAAGTAAAATACCTGAGTACATTTTTTGTTGTGAACAACTATTAATTACTCCATACCCAAAGTGGTTCACAGAAGAAATGCCATCTACACAGATGTAAATCTGAAAAAACCCAACTTGCATCAAAATATACCTGGCTTTGCCAAGCAGCTTACAAGACAAAGTCATCCATTTAATCACACACAGTAATAAGATGACCAGTTTGATAAAAACAAAGACAAGGATCAGCTATTAAGAAATGAAGATTACAAAACAAACAATAAAGGTTAAACATTTATAAACTTCTAGAGTAACAGCTTCTCTACTGATGTTGAACATGAACTTAGAATGACAGCCAGTAATCTGTTTCCATAAAACAGCATAGAGATATCACTTCCCTTTATCCAATTTCCAAAAGGAAAATTCTTTATAATATTACACTAGCCTTACTCAAGTTTTCCTTCTCATCTTTAGCTGAGACTTGAAAATATATGATAATCTTGATTTCCCATTTTTCTTTTCTGATTTGCTGTGTAAGAAACATAAAAACTTAAGCAACAAGATTTAAGACTGAGGAACTCAGTGACTCAGTAAATCTGAGTTTGTAGTACTGGACACAGCCAAGTGGAAGAAAACCAGATTTTATTTAACATATTTAAATCAGTTGTTCTGTAAGCTGCCCTTACAGCGAATGTGCATTTACATATACTATATAAATTTTGTTAAGGCCTAGATCACACTCATGCTCATCACCAAGAGTTGGTGGAGAGGATTTTACAGTGCCATTGATCTCATTTATAAACACATGCTTCTGAATGGATGATCTATCCTCTGTGTCTGCTTATCAGCATAAAATAAGATAATGATAAGAACCTGACACATTAGGGATTCACCACAGAAACAGGGTCATCGGGGAATCAAAATGATCACAACCAAGCCTTTGGTGAGATAAAGATGGGATAGGAAAACCTTCTAGATCTGGAATAACCTAAGATGACAACTGAGTAGACTCAAAAAGGGATACCTGCAGCATGCTACCCTTGAAATCTATTCTATTTTGTCAGTTGCTCCTAGGAAACATATTCTGCTGTTGCTTAGCTGACCCTGCTGAGGTGTAGGAATGTGTACATTGAAAATGGAGGATAAACAGAAGCAAACATATCTTCACCATGTGGATAACTGCACAAACCATGCAGCACTGGAGAAAGTCACCTATAGATACTGGCCTGTAAGACATTTCTTGCCAATTTATCTGTCATGTGCCCTCAGCAGCAGAAGTCCAAAGCTCCTTGAAGGCAACAACAAACATCACCACCACGTGGCAACAGAGAGAAATGAACTGCTTAAAGTCATTGCACAGGTTAAAGTCTCTGTGTGCTCCAGAGCTGGTCATCCCTGGAGCGTGCTGCCTCCTGCCTGGATGCACTGCTCAAGCACAGAGCAGAACGTGGGGCTCCAGCAGCAGCCCAGACAGCTCCTACAGCAGCACAGCCATGGCTCAGAGCATTCCAATAAAACAGATCCGGTTAGGAATGACTTTCCCAGGCCCAGGGAAATACTAAAGGCATGCTTCCAATCTGTCTGCAAGCTTCCTTCATGGAAGGGCCATCCTTTCCCACCCTTTTCTGCACTAGCATTGTGCATGTCTGTAAAACAGCTGTGCCTTAGCTGGATTAGTTTGCAGTCATTTTCCCTCCTTGACCTGCCTAACTGTGCTGCTGCAGAAATGCTGGTGGACAGAACAGGGTACAGGGTAGGGGCAGCAAAAATGTGACTGTGAAAAGCAGGATTGCTTCTTTAGGGCAACAGCAATTTGGACTCCAATTGCCAAACACTCTTCAGGGCATCCAAAAATGCTTTCTGATGAAATATCTCTCGGTTGTAAGAATAATTAGACCTTACCCCCACTTATCAGATAGGGCACAACCAAGAGGTCCACCTGAGGCAGCAAGATGGAGAAAAAGGACCTAATTTCATCTTTTCTACCTGCTCCAACTAGAGGAGCAAGCTGGCAAGACATATGTACACAATATGCTACACACTTTTTTTTCTGGCCAGGTCCAATCTTTATATACTGAGAGAACTCTAATGGTAGGAAAGGATACAGCTTTGGAGCAGGACATTTAAAATGGCATATGTCTACCAGGCAGCAAAGTGAAAAACTGTAATCTCTCTCTTTTTACCATGAAGAACTTGTTCCCACCAGTTAACAACAGCAGTTGCTGTTGGGGTTAAAACTGTCAGTACCAATAAAACCCACACCCAGCTGCTCTCCAGATTGGAAGTGAAGGCAGTTGTATTCACGTGCTGATGGTGAGACCACTTCTGTCTTCCTGTCTTCAGGACTGAAACAGCATCCATTCCCACTGCTGACCCCTTTCTGTATGGAGATACCAAATCCCATTCAAGCACCCACCTCTGGATGCTCTACAATGCTGCCAACTGTTTGACACATTGAAAATGAAGACTGGCATTCCTCATAATTTCATATTAGCTGTTCATAACAAAGGTGAAGCAAAATGTCCCCAACTGCTCCTGCCCCTCTAGGCCTGTGATAGACCAGCTTCAGGAAACTTAAGGACTTTGTAAAAATGAGGAGCTCAGAATCCCACTGAAATGTTTCTAGGGAAGGACTACCCCCTAAACAAACAAAAAATTTCATAAAGAAGCCATTATTTTCCTTTCCTACATCTAAATCTGGAGCCAGGCCCTCATATTACTCCAGCCTCCTGGTATTAAATGATTGATTTTTCCAGTTGGGAGTATTGGATGTACTTCTTGTAAACACTTCTCATTTGGGACCTGACTCAATTCATTATGTTGAAAGATCTCTTCAGGCTGCATCCTCTCCAAGGCAATATAAACACCCACACCAGCCTTATTTGGGGGGCAGAAAACCCCAGCTCTAAAGACAGAACTCAGCATATGGACACACTGCTGATGCAATGTGCAAAACAAAAGTAGGCTCCAAGGAATAAAAACTGAGTGTAGCCCATGCTTGATCTCTGTGCATGCATGTCTGAAAATGAACAGTGAGAAGCAAACCTTGAGTGAATGAGACCCACCAAGTCAAAATAATACATCATCACCCATAAAAGTATGTGATTTATCCCAAATATATTTTAATTAATTTTAAAAATCAAGCCTTGTATCAGGCTTGCCTTGTATTCAGACTATGTGAAGCATCTAAACTCAGTACAATCCAGAGGACCAAGTTTGGGGGTTTCATTGCATACTGTCAGGAAAAATGGGCTGAAAATATAGTATGGATACTTGAAACAGCTCCATACTCCCACTCCCTCTCCCTCCCTGAACATACAAAAAAATCCAGAAGGCAGATGTGTAGATATTATCTAGCCATGAAAATTCTACCAAGACAGCAAATAATGCTTTAAAACTCAGACACAACCCCTCCAGGACTTTATTTAGAAGTTATTTTTATTTAAAAAAAAAAATAATGAGAACTGAAGTACCACTCTCTGCTTCCAGAGAGCTTTTGTTAGGGCAGAATTAGAATTAATATGTTAGATAAACATGTTGCAACAGTCATATGAGCTTATAGGAAACAACACACATTCCCCACCCCGAGGTCTTTATTTTTAGTGCAGAAACCAGGTTGGTATAGCAACAGAAAACATCCCAGCCACAGACATTCACCCAGAAGGCAGCCCAGGAAGGTCAGCTAACATCAAGCTGGATTTCAGGAGACAAGAATTCCAGGTAAAAGCAGGAGAGATTTAAGTCTTTTTCTGCTAGAGTGGGAAGATTCTAGATGCAAGAGATGGGCTGTAAAACACAATTAAGAGGAACTGAGGGTCAGAGACATTGCAACAAAATGACATTGGAATTTTTGAGCTGCACAGCAAGCACGTTCAACCAGTTCTAGGCATCCTGAGCTATTTCTGAAAGGCCCACATCTCCCCATCTCAGCAGAAACATCCCTCTAAGTTTAAAGAGCTACAAGTCAGAAATTCACACTGGGTCAGTCCCAAGTCTTCAATGCAGTAATTTTAGTCCAGGGACATATTAGCAGCATATGAGATGGCTCAAAATAATAGACAAAATTGTTATCCTTCTGAAAGCAGTAACATGACACCATGGAGAAAGCCTTAGGTAAGGACTCCTGTACCCTGAGTTCTGTTCACACCCTGTTAATGCTCTTGGACAAGTCATTTCTACCCTTTCTGCTTCACTTTCATCCATACAGAGAGGGAGAGACATGTGGCTCCTTTGCAAAACCACCTGAATCGATTAAAAAGTACAATTAAAAAAAAAAGACTCCTTGAATTTCTTGTTCAAATCCACAAGCTGTAGGTAAAGGCTCTGTGGTGGGTTTTGTATAATTAACTATAACCATGCTCTCAAAACATTTCTTGTTCTCCCACAAATATTAGGAAGCAAAAGCTAGGGAGAATACTGTCCATTTGTACTTAATTAAAAGTCACCAATTAATTTGGGGGGGTGTTGGGTTTTTTTTCAATTTTCAAAATTTTTGTTTCTGAATAATTTTGAAGTAGAGCTTTAGGCCATCATACACAAGTTGAAGGCTGTCCTTACTTGCATTTTGTGAACCCCTTAGAAGTAATTCACAGATCACAGATTCATTGACATCTGTTATCCTAGATTTGTTTTGATCAACTGTTAAAGCAATACCCACATCTTCAGGGTAAGGATGGGTCATGACAACTTAAATGAATCTGTCCCATAAAAAGCATTTCTAATAAGCTCTGAAGCAAGGCTTTTCAGGTTGCTAGCAGACATATACATTAAATAGAATAAAATAGTGGTGATTCCTGCAGATCACCTCAATCAGCCTTGTTGCTTTACCACTTTGCACTGTCCCAGAGTAATTTCCCAATCCTGCTTATTCTGTGATCCCCACCACCTCTAATCTCACAGCAATACTCTGAGATTATAGAAAAGAAACAGTGATTCACTATCTTGATATTTGTTTTAACTTTCTTCACTTTAGAGAAAGTCAGCCGACTCAAAGTGGCTCTTCTGTCCCTGCACATCACCCTCACAAACGGGAATCCCCTCCATGACAACCTGCACTAGATCCCTCTGTGAAGCTGCCTCATCTCCAACTATTCTATGCTAACACATAATTAACAAGTTACTGTTATCACTAAGCACTCTGTGGCATCTCTCCCTTCATGCAGGAAGGAAGGTGATCCCTTCAAAGCAGCAGCCAACTCTTCAAGAAACAGAGAACCAGTTATCATTAACATTTAAATACACACTCATTTGAAGTTCAGTGCAGCTCAGAAGATGGCCTGAATATGATGAGCTAGCACTTGACAGCTCTGTCCAAATTGCTTATGCTATAAATGCTCCAAGCAAGCTCCTCACCCGGGTCTTGCACCTTTCTGTTCACAATGTGAGGCTGTTCAGGGGTCACCAAAGGGTGATTTGTGGCCAACATAACCAGCCCAGCAAGCATTTCTATTGCTGACAATTATGCAAAAAGATCACTGTACAGTTTAGCTCCACTTCCCATTCCCTCTCTTCCCAATTTAAATAAAGAAAAAGCTGTCTTGACAAAGGCAAAATTATCTTGCCAGTATAAATCACACCCACATTCAGGAATGGCTTATTAGCACATCATACAGGATGGCTTAAAGCACCTCCACAGTGGTCAACACAATGAAGTCCAAATTATTAATTTGGGCTTTCAGTGCCATTTCCATCACAGAATGGTGCTTTCCTTCTCAGAGGCTTTCCAGCAGCAAGGGAGTCACAGGATGGCTAAGGAGAGCATTTTGAAGACTGACAAACAAACCTGAAATTATGGCCAAGTCCCAGACAGGATACATTTAACAGCTATGAGAACAGATACAGAGATTTAGTCAATAATGTTTTGATGAGTTTTCAGGCTTTCTACAGTTTGGCCTTCTAGTACAGCCAAGAATGTCAGACAAGAGCACTGCAAGTATTTCTTTATTCCGTGCCTTGTAAGCAAACACTGAATACTTAGAGGAATCACTTTTTCTGCACCAGTAATTTATTGAGTTACTGAATCAAGTCTGTATAATTCAGCATGAAGTTTTCATTGTATCAACTCAGAGCATTTATCCCAAACTTCTGCATAACTTCTATAGATTGCCCTCAATGTATTCTGGTTGTCAGTGAGAGTACACCTTGGACCTTAAGAAGCTAATTACAGAAAGTTTTTGTAGGCCAAGAGACCATTCAGTTTCAAACTACTGCAAGACTTCTTAAGGAATTTTAGAGTTTGCTTCAATTAAATAAAGTTTTATTCTAGTATCAGAACCTTTAGATTCTTGAAGGCTCTCTGTGAAAATCAGCTGGTCATCCAGCCTTGAACAAGCTCTCAAAGACTCAGAGTACTAAAAATTTGAGTATACCTACATCGAGTAATTTCACGTAATCTTGTGACACCAAGAATTAATTTGCTTGGTGAAGAGAGCACAACTAGAACAGCTGAACAGAAATGGATTCAATCAGTTGAAACACTCCAGTTTAAAATTAGAAGTTTCCAGTGAGGGGAAAAAACCCCCTAACCATGACACAGTAAGTTCAGCACAATACCTGGGTATGATTATTCTTCCCATTCAAGAGTTAAAGCAGAGTTTCACAACGCCACTACCAAAAATAAAAATACTTTATTGATATTTACATATAATTATGTAGCTCTACAGAATGTTCAATACAGTAGCCTAGTAATCACTATGACAGAAACTGGTCCCAAACAGATTGATTTTTTATATTCTTTTTTTCCCTACGAAGTTCTTCTCACAGGAGCTCAACTTCATTACCTCTTCCCCTAATATCAGGGAAGTTGGCAAGAATTATTTCTCTTGGACATGGAAAAACATCCTCTCCAGAAACATCCTCATGTTTCTCCAGTCATTCTTTAGGGCAACAAAATGTTAAGTCTAAAAGGTGCTCCTTAACAACTACTGAGATTTCTCACACATTTATATTTGGTCTAATGTGAACTGAGAATTAGAATTTCACTGTCATTTCCTTTGGAATCACAAGTGTAAGTGTTTTTAAAGCTTTGTTCTTTTTAAAAGCTGTCATTTCCTTTAGCTATATTATACCTTCATTTGTCAGCTTGAAACGAGCTCCTACCTAATGTGTTTTTAATTACCATCATTTATTTACATTTTATACCAGATAACACTCTTGCTTTTCAGGCATAGACAAGGGCCCTGGTTCCAGAAGCTCCCAGAGCTCCGTTTAAGTAGGACTCCACACAAACCCACCTTCACAACATTAGAAGCAGATTCCTGAGTAACCCCACAAAGAGATGATCTCCTCCTTACTGCCTGGGTTATGCCATCCATTTTATTAAGTGACTCCTGAAAAGGAAGAAGACCACAGCTAGCTTCGCTTACTTCTTTTCCCTGCTCTGCGGCCATCAGTTGAGCACCAACACAACAAATATAATAAAGGAGGAAAAGCCTCATACACTTGTCTGAAGCCCAAACTAAAGAGCGTTATCGTTGTATTGGGAAAAGACAGCACAAACAAGACCAGGCAGGCCGGCCAAGGAATATACACAAATCCAGAGGGGAAAAAATGGTTAACAAGCAGCCAGGAAGCCGAGACGAGCCGGCACCCACAGCACGGCTAATCCCAGCCCAGGCAGGGTTACCAAGGCGCACGGCACCACAACAAGGCATCGCTGCCAGACGCCCGCCCTCTCTCCTTCGCCACACACGGCCTGAGCGGAGCCTGCCGGACCCCTCCGCTGCCCGTGTGCTGCCGGTGGATTTCGGGCTGCCGTGGGCCCGGCTCCCGCGCCGGTTCCTCACGGGCGGCGCCGCGGCCACAGCCGGGCCCGGGCGCCGCCATTGCCGCCCCACACGCGCGGCCCCGGCCTTTTATAGGCACCGCGCCGCCCCACCCCGCGCCGTGCCGCCCGCCCGCCCCTCCCCAACCCGCGCACCGATAGTACGGCAGCGCCCATTGGCCGCGCCGGCGCCGGCCGTTTGTGTGGGGCGCGCCGATTGGCGGAGCGCGGCCGCCCAACGGCCGCCCGCTCGCGAGCGCGTCCCTGGCGGTGTCAATGGCTCCTCCTGCCACGGAGCAGCGACGGGCCTGAGCCGGGCAGGACCGCGGGATCGCCGGGGGCCGGGACGGGGGGGCGCGGCGCCATCGTCCCCCACAGCACCGCTGAGAGAGCCGGCGGCTCCTTTGCCTTCGAGCGAGCCGGCAGCGGCGGCGGGACCCGCGCTCGGAGATTTCCCCCCCGCCCTTCCCTGCTGCCCGCGCCTGCGAGGCGGCCGCCCCGGGGCTCCCTCCGAGCACCCCCGTCCCCGCCGAGGCACCGGTTGCCGGAGGATTCCCCCCCTCCCCTCCCGCCGCCCACACGAGCCGGCAAATGAACTCGGTCCGAGCCGCCAACAGGAGACCCAGGCGAGTGTCCAGGCCGCGCCCGGTGCAGCAGCAGCAGCAGGAGAGGAACAACGCCGCCGCCGCCGCCGCCGGGGATCGGGGTAAGCCGGGCTCGGGGCCCGCCCTGCGCGGGGACCGGCAGGAAAAGCCCAGGCTGCTTCACCCTTGGCTCCCGCTCAGGCCGCGCTTTGTTTGGCTCGGGCTCTGCCCCGGCTCGGGGGGAGGCGGGGGCTCGGCCCCTTCCCGGGCCGGGGAGGGGGGAGCGGATCGCCCGCGGCCCCTCGGGACAGGACACCCCCCCGAGCCCCCGCCCCGTCTCCGGAGACGGCGAGCGGGCGAGCCGCCCTCTCCCCCCGGGAACACCGGAGCCTCCCCGCGGGGAGCGGCGGGCCTGGCCCCGAGGGCCGCGGGGGGAAGAGCGCCCGGGGGGCTGTGGGGCGGGGGGGAAGCGATGGTGTCGGGCCGCTCTCGGCGGCACCTTCCCCGAAATGGTGTCCGGGGGCGGCGGCCCCTGGTCTGGCCGAGGCTCCGCGGGGCCGGGCCCGCTGCGCCGCGCCTGCTGCGCAGTTCGGGCTCCGGCTCCAGCGCCGGCGGGGGGGCCGCGGCCCATCGGCCATTGATCCCCCCCGGCCACGCCGCCCCCGCCGCCCCGAGCGGAGCGGGGGCTCGGGCCGCCCGCAGCCCGGCCCTGCCCGGCCGGGGCCTAGCGAGAAAATGTTGACAATTGGGAGCTAGCGGGGGAAAGCACCATTGTGTGAGGGCATGAGGAAGCGGCGAGGTGGGATTGGCCCCTCATGGAGCCCGGAGCGGGGTGCGGGGGGGCTCGGGGGTGGCGGCCCCTCGGGCCTGGCGCTGTCGCCTCGGTGGTGGCTCTGGGGGTGCCGCTGTGCTTGTGCTCCGAATGTGCAGGGCTGATGGTGGCTGGGCTTTTTTTTTTTTTTTTTTTTTTTTTTTTTGAAGGCGAGATGGGGGTGGGATTGGAGGAGACATTTTGCATGTCTTATCTGGTGGATTGGATTTTAATTTTTTATGCATTACCTGTCACAACTCCGGCATGATAAAGAAGACTGATCCGTGGTGCGGTCTTAGGTGTACAAATGCCTTTTTAAAATTAAAAAAAAAAAAAAAAAGCTTCATTGTCAGCTGAATGTCTTTTGTTTGAATATCTAGGATATCGCATTGAGAACAAGGTGTTTTAACTACGGAGATGCGTCGCGATAAATATTTTAGTGCATTTTCTGCAATCAGAACATTTTAAGTAAATGAAGTAAAGAAAATTTAATCTGAGGAAGTATTTTTAATTCTCCATTCCTCTCCCTCCCCTCCCTCCCCTTCCTTCCCCCGCCCCCCCTCGCACACATTGGTCAGAGCAAAGAATGTTACCCAGACCAGATTGCTGTGTATATGACCAGAGGATGTGATGTCTTATGCCCAATTATGGGTCTTGTGTAAACCTTCCAAAATCTTCAGTAATTATATGATTAAAATGACTTCTCTGGTATACTGACATTTAAAAGAAAAACAACAACACAGAAAATAAAGCAAAACAACAACAAAAAAAAGAACTTCCTCTCAAAGACATGCACTGAAGGTTTTCATCGTCGATGTTCCATATGCAGAATATAGGCATTTTTCCAACCCCATGGCTTACTTTGCCTTTTAAACAGATGAAAATACAACTTATAAAAGACATCCAGAATGATGTGCTTATGGATTAAATGCAGTGATTATTCAGTTTTACGTTGGACTGCCACTGTTCATATGTTACTAATTTGGTAAAGATACAGGCAGAAACTTTCTCCATTAAAATGTGAGGCTGCAGTGTATTTGTATTTCTCTGACATTTCTGGAACTCTGGACTCACCTATTTATTTTTTTTTTTCACATTGTTCTTCTGATTCACATGGCTGACCACTCAGTGGTGATGAAATTATAACAAAATCAGATTCCATGGTTGTGGAAATTACCGTTCCATGTGGATCACTGCTAGCTTTTTCCTTGCATTTTTGAAGGTCAGTTGTGCTAGGTCTCACTTGGCTAAAAATGTATCAACAGCATGAAGGTTTTTTGTCATTAGTGTTCCATCTGCATTTGGGGGTGTCTGTAGTGCAGTTTCTGTTCTGTCTCAGGATTTGCAAGGTCTTATCCACCATATCTGGAAGGTAATTTCGGTTTTACCTCTGACTTTGATGGCTTTGTGCAGGGCTATTGCAGTAAAGGCTGATGAATAATGCTACTAAATTAAAAGCCAATATGCTGGGGTTAGACTGTGCCATGCAAATCAGTGTTGACTTTTTTCACCTTTATTCCCAAGCAATGTAGGTCATCCTAAAAAAGGCTGTACAAAAGAATCAGTATAAATTATTAGGAAAGGGTTTCTATTGAACTCAGATTTAAATTTGTTAATAAAACCCTCTTACTGGATACTGTGAGTGCAGCTGTGACTGAACAAAAATTATTTTTTGTTACTGTTAATTTCTTTCCTCCTTCATATTACAGCTCTGTGCTTATAGGCACAGATATCATGGGACAGAGTTGATAATACAGCTTACAGTTAATCTTTGGAACTTCTTGTTTCATATCATTAAATTGCTTAGTAAAACATGTACTAGGTCTTGAGCTTTATTTATTATTTAATGCTGCGTAAGTAGACAGTGTTTTACAACTGAGTAACAGCTGTTACATGTTCACTGCTGGGTTAAAATCAAGTTATGATGCCTATTGTTAATAAATAGACCACTGAGAAAAAATACTTTTCTAAAAATCCTTCCTCAGAGGCTCCTTATAAGAATTCAAAAATCATACAAAGCTGTTCTTTATACTGAAGTAATTTTCGTTTTATGTGTGTAGTAGGAACAAATCTAATGAATATATAACCATGCTGTCTATAATATGCATTGATGAACAATACCTGTGTCCCTGTGTTCTGCTTAGTGGGGAAGGGAGATCATAAATGATTGCAGATAAAAATGTTTTCTCCCCCAGACTCCCTGTGTTGTTCAGCCAAGATAAGATGTCATCAGGATACACTTCCCAAGATGTTTTGCCTTATGCTCTGCTGTTCACACCTCCCTCCATCTAAGTTAGCCACTCTGGCTGCACCATGGCACTTCTGTTCTGCCTTCTCCCTCCTGATCTCTCCTCGGTTACCAGTGGTTTATTCAGTGGTTTTGCTATTCTGCATGAATGATACAGAATAGATGTGTCCTTTTATTTTCTTTAGGACAAAGGTCTACCCAAAAGGAAATCTGGGCTCAGTAATGTTTATGATTAAATATTCCCATGTTTGCTTATAGTGCTGTTTTTTTCTTCCTTGATTGCATAGGTTTGGCTAGTTTTGCTAGGAAGAAGACAAGGTTATACACTTATTTTAAAAGACCAAAAGATCTTGTCCAGAATGCAGCTGAAATTGTCAACCTCAGAGCTATCATATGAATATTTTTTTTCTTGTTTCTGTTCTTCTCAAAATAATAACTCCATTAGTGCATATGTACCTGTGTAAAAGCAGCACATCATTGGCTGTAGTGCTAATGAGGTTCTGAGCTGCATGTCCAGAATTAAGTGCTCTTAGGCTGGGCTCCTGTGTGCTGATAAGTCCCCAGCTGCATCTGCCACGGTGCTGCTGTTCCTGCTGCCGGCGTCCATGTGACACGGCAGGGGCTGGCTCTGAGCTGCCTGCACCAAATGCTAACTGCCTTTTTTTTTTCCCAGGTTGATTTTTGGCACGAGTGCTGCTACAGGGAAGGGATAACACTGAACGCCTGTGGGTGTGGTGGGACTGTGGCAGCTCCATTTTAGATTGGGTTAAGCTGGGCCGATACTTTTGGAGCTGAGGCGAATTTAATACGTGCGTGCTGTAAACCTACCTTGCAAGTTTGCTTCCCCTCCTAGCCCCAATCTATTTTCCAGTAAAAGCAAGATAGATACACCCATACAGTCTGTGTGTCACTCTGCAGCTTCTGAACTTGTTAGCTCATTTAAACCAAAGTTGACAAAGGGGCGTGAAGTTAAGTTTTGTGGCTGGGCAGAGGACGAAGACAATGAGGGAAAGACATTTATAACTCACCCTCTTCTACCCATGCCAAGAAGCAACAACCAGCTGGCCTGTCAGCACACAAGGTAATTGAATTAGTCATTTGTCTTACAGGGGACACGAGGGCTTGACGGACTGGGAAAAAGAGTGGGGCAGGCTGTGTAAGACAGACATGTAGAAACTAAACTCCAGTAGAGTTCTTGCTCACAACGTTTGAATTTTGTAATGTTGAGATAAATATCTTAGGAAAGGTAAGGAGTCTTTATTTGGCTCTGTTTCAAGTGTGTGTGTGAAAGCATGTGCATTAT